CCTAATTAAGAGGCAGAGTATTTCTAGCATCGCAAGGAAGACCCTGTTTCATGGAGCCAGTAACTCACATTTGGGCAATACTTTCTGGAATATATCGCCTGAAACCCAAGATTGTCTGCCTCTCTCTTTATCTTCCTGTTGCTCCAACTTTGGAGCGTAGGACAACAGTGAAACGTCTCGTTTCACTTCAGTTTCTGTCTTATTCGGTAGAATCCTTGGATGGGGTATCAACACTTCGCAAGACCGCTATCAACACCAACACAGAACAAACGCAGACTGACATCTATGCCTTGAGTGGGATTGGAACCGACGATCAGAGTGTTCGAGCGAGCGAGCGAGGACAGTTCATGCCTTAGACTGCGAGGTCTCTGTGATCGGTAAGATTTAAGTATTTGTAAATTCAGTGCAGCCTGTAGCTTCGTTCATGGCGTCTGTCAGGGGATCTAGTTTTTCTGCCCTTTTTGCTGATGCGTAGCAAAAGTTGTTTCGTATCTGTTCCTCCATGTAGTTTGTAAAGTGTGACTGATAATCAGTTAGGCTCATGTGTGGCGCTCTTGTCCCCCCGATGTGTCTGGGAGATGAGAACTTGAGTAGACACGCCTCGGGTCTCTCCCGACTTCTGGCGCCGGTCCTCCTTGCCTTACAACTTCCTCATCGTAATACATACCGTGACAATTCTATTGTACTTGTAATTAATATAGCAGATGGCACCAGAACGTGTTGTTAGAACGCCCTCGCATGCAAATACAAGTCTGATGTATCGATAGCCGTAACAGAAAGATTCAAATTACGATTGCACGGTCGAAATGTTTTGAAATTGCTTCGTCCTTGTGTCAGACCCCTATTGGCCATTCTTTCATGCAAAATACAAATGCCAACAAGTCCATTGTTAGTGAGTCAGTCAAGTCTGCTCTTATTCTGAGCCTAATTGTTAAACTTTATTCTGCAATTTAATATTTGAGGTTTTCACGGCGGTGACTATGAAGAATGCCGTCTTCAGGGATGTGGCGCCGTGTAGATCTTGTTTGAACCGACGTTTCGGAGGAACGTATCGCCTCCATCTTCAGGGTAAAGAATCCACGAACGATGAACCAGCGTGAGCAGGTGGCTGCAGTCTGCATTATCTACAATATCTCCATTTTTTCTCGTGAACTATAATGCATTTATCTTTACTCCAGGCCCTGTATACTTGGGCTTGTAAGAGGCGTTCTTTTCAATATGAGCTAGGTACTTAAGCAAGGTTATTTGCAATTGAAAGTGCCGTTAACTGTGCGGGTATTTAACGGCTGTGCTGTTGCACGGCGTTCTGCTCTACGCCTAGGTTTGGTTAGACAACTGCGGCGAAGGTCAGGCTGTACCAAGATCACAGAGAGATGGTACTGCCCCTGTTGCAGCATCTAGATTACATCTCCCGTTGAATTAACTGCATCGGAGCAAAAGACACGGTCCGTAATGCTCCTCGCGTCCAGGGCCCACAAAACAGCATCCAGGCCTACAGTATTGAGTGTAACTCGATGTTTAAGATTCGCACTGTCTGCTCACCAGTTAGCGTTATGTCCTTTCAAATAAAATCAACCTCATGGGCAAGGATGTCAGCTTGGGCTTAGGTTTGCCATCATGAAGTGACTGAAGACAAAAAAAAAAAAAAAAAGAGGGTAAAGGTGTTGCAGCCCTTAACTAATTAAGCACTACTCCGTGAAAGCGTATGGGGGAGTGGATGTAGAGATCTACCTCTTCTTGACCTCCGCACTAACTGGAGGTAAGCGGTCAGCTTCACGCCCCAGCCGCTTTACCCCCAGGGAAAGAGCCCCCAGTACCTATTGATTAGGAGGCTGGGTGGAACGCAGAGCCGGCCTGGACGACGTGGAGAAGAGAAAATTCTTGACCCAACCAGGACTCGAACTCCGGCCTATGTCGTCCAGCAAGCAGCAGTCGCTATACTGACTACACTAAATTTTATTTAAAAAGTTAATTTTCTTTATGTTAACGTTATCTTTTCACCAACATTATTTGCGTTGGTCATAACAAAGGCAACCCGAACTTTGACTCATCAGTTTCAGTTGAAAAAAAAATGTTATACATACAATAATGAAGATTTCTTGAATTACGTTAGCCCATTCTACGACCGCCGATCACAGTGGCCGCGCTGTCCAAGACATGAAATGTCTTCGCCGTTTCGAACGCTCGGTTCTTCGAATCGATGTCTCTCTGTTTGTGTTGTCCTGTATAGATAGCGGCCTTGCGACGGGCTGTTCTCCAATCCAGGGAGTCTTGCCGACTGTCTAGGACTGATGCCCTGTGCTCCAAGGAGGAGTAACAGGAATAAAGATAGAAAGATTCTACGACAGCCCGCCCGCCTCCAGCGATCTCTAATTTGGAGTGTAAACTTTTCAGTGTAGCTCAGAGCGGTGCCGCCTTCAGTTTCCTGTTCCTCTCCGAGGTCTCTGACACGCACTTCAGTACCATATAAGCCCCATATCAAGTGCATTCCTATGATTGAGAAGTAAGCGAACGTGAGATAATTTAATCACTGAAGTGCAGTAGGGCTCAGTTACTCACAAAAACAATTGTTGCTTCCCTGTTGTCACCATGAAGTCCTTATTTCCCTCTAAACGATTTCTGTTTCCCCTTACTAACTCCTACACAACACGCCCTCAAGACTAAAGGGGTGTAAAAACAACGCCCTCTGTCCAATCACGAAATCAATTAATCTGACATGCGCAGTTCAAAATTAGGTTTCAAGCAGCCTGTCGTCGTGCTGAGTAATAAAGACAGAATGAGTAAATACAATTCAGGCAGAATCTATTAAAATTTCAAAACGAGTTTTTCAATAAAATTGTACTCTTCTTGTTAGGAATATGTCGTAATTATGTGCGTGAAGTTTGCTGATGTTAATCTTGGTACTGCAGATAATGACGCCCCGTTTCGTTAAAATGATCACGATGTGTAGCTATATGAGCGTCCACGCCCACTCCACGTATCTTGTAAATGCAGTTATGACATATGCCCTTCTTGCATAATAGGCAACTGCAAACGCTAATTTTTAAAATAAAAATGCAGAAATATGTAAGGCAGCCAGTATTTAGAAGTCAAATGGAATTGTAACAGCGATATCACTCAGTAATGCGTAGTCTTGTGGTGATTTCCCCAAAGACAACGCGAAGATTTCAAGAATAACTTCGAAAGTTTGTATGGCAGTTTCTCTTGTCTTTTCGGTCATGCTGAATTCAAAGCCAATAACTCATGCCGTACATCACAAGTGAGAAAACGTTTTAGCCGAAAGGCGGGATTTTGGCTTTCAGATATTTTACCTGGCCAGAAAGACGCCAAAGCATTATTTATGAGAATTTTTTAATAAGCAGAAAAGTATATAATATGCATACTCAATGTCATTCCTTAGTGCGATAGATAATGTTAGTGAAAATTTTTTGTTTTAATTTTAAAAATTGTTGATGCGAATTAAAAATTATGTTATAACCAAATTTCCATTATAGCTATGCTGGCGGAATGCGGCCAGCGGACCGTAGTTTTTCACCCCTAGACGCACAATACTGAGTACGAAATGAATTTGGATTTCCTCATTTCGAATACTCAGATATTTAATTGAAGAAAACGTAAAACCCTGTTCATATCCGTGATGACCCAAACATAATCGAGTCCCACGTAGTTTTAATGATGTCCTGCTTACCGGAACACATTTCTGTACGTTCTGGCCCTGGTTGTACTGCACTTACGTACAGAGAGGCTGCTTCCACTCCACAGCCACGGAGTGAACTTCTGCAGCGTCTGTGTGTCGTGTTCTCTTTCCGTGTGAAAGTGTAAAATTGATCGAAACTTCACCGTTTCAGGATCCTAAAATGCTCGCATCTGAAATTTTCCGTGGCTTCCTCGTTAGCATTCGGTCTAGAAAACCGAGCTTAACGGCCGTGGGGATCTGTTGCGCTGACCACGTGACACCCCCTATCCGCTAAACTTAGCACTAACTTCGCCGACAAGCGGCGGTCGCTCGGTCGGTATAGTTCGCTTGCGGACTACAGGCCATGGAGTTTTCCTCTCTCCTTAGTTTTAAATTCAGCATCAGTGAGAACTCTGGTGGCATGATCTTCATGTCGAGTTTTATGATGAATCTACTATTAAGCTACGTTTGGACAAACTGTCGAACTGACCGTAAATTTTTCTTTAGACAGCTAAAAAGGGGTTTCATTATAAACTTACGAAGTTTTTTAATATGTGATTGCTTACATTCTGTTGCTCAAAATGGGATTTAAATTATGCTTGAATTAAAACTTGTTCGGAATGATGTCGGAATCAAAAGAAAGGTTCATGCTCTTCTTATATGACTGTGATTCCTCTACATTTAAGGTATCATATATGTATAGTTTTTGATGTTCTGATATACACGTGGCCCGTTTACTTTGCACATCGCAATTTCCGTGTACTTACCTTGAATATAACGACAATGTCAGAAACGTTTCCTTTGCTAGTAATAGAAGAAGCCTATCAAAATCTGAAGCTCGCAGAAATATGTATTATGAAATGGCAATGTTTCGTAATTCCAGATGTTCAAAATTGTGCCATCCTGCCATACACGTATAAATGAAATAAATACGAGATTACTGGAAGTTTCAGGAGGTAAAATACGTCACTTCATCACCCACTTTCTGTTCTTAACGCGAATACTGATAAATTTAAAAATAATTTCGTCATTTAGATCGTAGGCAGGCAGCTGTGTTTTGGCGTTAGTGTTCTTGTTTACTGTCGCTGAGACGAGAATAGTGTAGCCTGCTGCTTTTCCTTCCTGACTCTCACCCAAGTCGTTTAATTAACGTTGTATAAACAAAAACTTTGTGACGTTTTGTCTTCGCGTTTCAGTGGAATTTGAGCTTGCTTGATGATCTGACTCGCCTGCTAAACTGGGCGTGGTTCTGCTGATTCTTATACGGCTGCACATGTCGGGTTATGCCATTCTCTGATCGAGATCCTCTCTTGTCCTGTGACAGGCGCGACGTTTCATCATCAGCACCGCCGTCCCCAACGTCATCGAAGCGCCGCGAATCGCCCCCTGTGAGTGCACATGTGGGGACAACTCAAAGAGCGGGTCGTTACCTCTACAAGTAGCCGCATCGCCATCGGTGAAGTTGGAGGGACGGACAGTCTCTAGCTGAGCGCTTTGCCCAGCAGCTGCTGGTCCATGGTCGGCGAGTCTACTATGCGAATTGCTAACCTGAGGACCCTCATCGCGGTAAGTGAAACAGACCTGACCGCTGGATGCAGGCGGATCTCCTATGTACTGAATATTGCGCCCCTCAAGAATATCTGGAGGTGTCCAGTTGTGGCCTTTATGCAGACTTCAGTTCGTATGAGAATGTTGCGCGTCAGCGATCGCACCCATATGCAGATCATTTTCGTGTAAACGTTCATATTTGTCCAAACCAGTGCTTCCATAACTGAGGGAGTGATATAACAGGGTTTCGGGGTGTGGGTGTGGGAAGAGAGCGAGGCCACGTGAGGACATTAATATATATTTTTTTTAATTCGCTTAGTGGGGAGTGGAGTCCAGCTGGGTCTACTCGGCACGGCGGCCACTGATTGGCCAAAATATTTAAGATTAAATTTAGCTGAAACATTTGATTTCTTATCTGCATATGTTGATACTCTTCCGTAAACACCCATTATAGTTGTTAATCGAGATATTAAAAATACATGGAAACGGATTATATTTGAACATTTCCAGGCATAATTGATCGTGAAACTCTTTATTTTAAAATTCTGAATTCTTTCCCTTCATTTTTGTTGCTGTAATAATTACGAGTTAGTTGATCATGAACGGTTATATAAATTCCAGTGCAAAGGGAGCGGGGGTGGGGGTGGGGTAGAGGTTTGAAATTTTGGTGAAACCTACAAGTGGGGCGTTATAACAGGTATTGGTGGTACCATTAATCTGGTCCAGTCTGCTTGTACCGGTTCTCACGGTCTCTTCGCTTGTGGATTTTCTTATTTTTCCTTGAACCCTGAAGATGGGGGCGATACGTTCCTCCGAAACGTCGGTTAACACCGCATCTACACGGTGCCACATCCCAAAAGACTGCTTTCTTCAAAATTATTTCAGTTCGTGTAACAGCTTTTTACCACGGCAGAATAAGAATTTGCCAATAAATTTTATGTTGTAATTTCAATAACTGACAATACTGTTGAATGTTGAAACCAGAAAGGTACGTTATTTGCGAGGCCTTCTTGAAGTTCTTTGCCGCCCAATTTTGCTACGTAATTAGAACTGCAGCCTTCAAGTGCCGCTGTCGCTGCTGTGTGGAAGGAGCATAGCCTCCAGGATACACGAATAGGCGCGCTGTAACACGTGACACAGACTCAGTTTCCTGTCGTCTCGTACAAATGTATGTGATCCTGTAACTAAGTTGACACTGCGTTATGTCTCACACTAACAGCATCTGGTCAGTCCCTAACAACATGAACACGAACCGAAGATTACCGATAGAATGACTTCGCAGATTTAGTCAGGCTTTGCTCGACTGTATACCATGAACTTATATAATTGGACTCTATCCAGTGTTGTTTCATATTCAAAAGTGCTTACGGATTTGGATTTAATTTGGTGGGGAGCCCCCACAGTAATATCTATGGAGCAAGTCTCTCATTGCTTTCCTCTCAACGACGGGTGCCTGCTGTTACAAGAAGCTCAAACTGTTTTGTTCACGTAAGTCACTTNATATCATCCCATCCTATCTCCCTAAGACCCATTTTAACATTATCCGCCACCTACGCGTATATATTCCCAGTGGTCTCTTTCCATCTGGCTTTCTCACCAATATCTTATATGCATTCCTCTTGTCCCCCATTCGTACTACATGCCCTGCCCACCTCATCCTCTTTGACTTTATCACTCTAATTATACTTGGAGAAGAGTACAAGTTATGAAGCTCCTCATTATGAAGTTTTCTCCAACCTCCTGTCACTTCATCTCTCTTCGGTCCACATATTATCCTCAAGACCCTGTTCTCAAACACCCTCAGTCTATGAAGAAAGTCGTCTTCTGGGTTTAGGCGCCGTGTATTCTTCGTTTTGGCCGACGTTTCGGAGGAACGTATCGCCTCCATCTTCAGAGCAGGTGAATGGCTTGGAATGCTGAGAGCAGTAGCTGTAGTGATAGGAAGTGAAAAGCGCTGAAGATGGAGGCGATACGTTCCTCCGAAACGTCGGCCAAAACGAAGAATACACGGCGCCTAAACCCAGAAGACGACTTTCTTCATAGACTGAGGGTGTTTGAGAACAGGGTCTTGAGGATAATATGTGGACCGAAGAGAGATGAAGTGACAGGAGGTTGGAGAAAACTTCATAATGAGGAGCTTCATAACTTGTACTCTTCTCCAAGTATAATTAGAGTGATAAAGTCAAAGAGGATGAGGTGGGCAGGGCATGTAGTACGAATGGGGGACAAGAGGAATGCATATAAGATATTGGTGAGAAAGCCAGATGGAAAGAGACCACTGGGAATATATACGCGTAGGTGGCGGATAATGTTAAAATGGGTCTTAGGGAGATAGGATGGGATGATATGGATTGGATAGATCTGGCTCAGGATAGGGACCAGTGGAGGGCTGTTGTGAACACGGTAATAAACCTTCGGGTTCCATAAAATGCTGAGAAATTCTTGAGTAGCTGCAGAATTGGCGGCTCCTCCAGAAGGGCTCAGCTCCATGAGTGAGTGAGTAAGTAAGTAAGTAAGTAAGTAAGTCACTTTGTGAGGTGTTGGTAAGAAGTAAAAGGAAAACAGTACATTTACTGTAGCTTACTGGTCGAGTAAACCCACAGGACTTTGGCGCTAGATGAATAGGCTGGAAAAAACAGAACTCTTCTTTATGCCTGCCGTAAATGAATAAGCGTACCGTTGAGGAAAGAAAGAATGTGCTCCATGCGGAACCCGAATGAAAATGATCATACAAATCTTCGAGTCTCACACAAGACGTGATACGCCTGGCAGGAGACCCAGTTCCTTTGTAAAGCGATTTGAGGACTAGTCTAATGTGCGAAACTCTCTCCAAGGTTGAGGAACAATACCGAGCAAGTTTCCAAGACATCATTTCAGTGTCATGTAGCCTGTAATGTACAGAATAAATACAAATTTCAGTGGGGAATGCTTATTACCCTTCATTGCAATAGGCTATATGCATGTATGATTCTGAAATTTTCTGCAGAAATCGAGAGATCTACGCAAACCGCCCGATCCACCAGGATCATACGATCATCGTAATAGTTGTGTGTTTCTCTGCCTAATTGTTTCTGCCCATGGTGAACAAAAGTACATGGCGCTAGAACTTATTTCTTTTCATTTATTTTGTTTGTGACAATTTGTGAGAGAGGACATCTGATATCAAAAGCGATCAGCCATAGGCTTTACTGCATACTGCTTTATAAATTGTTAATACAGCGATCATGATTGGTCTGTTGTCGGTAGCGTAGTTGCTTGACGCACTACGCTACAAGCCTTAAACTCGTACGTTCGGTTCCCTACGAGGTGATTGGATTTTTCGGTTGACCTAATCCTTCCAGCCGCGCTATGGCCCTACTCAACCTCTAACAGGAGTGAGCACCAGGAATGTTCCTGGTGGAGTAAAGGTCGGCCGGCTCGTAAGGCTGACAGCCTCACCGCCGCCTGTTAGCTGACTGTCTACAAAATATGGGAGCCTCGACCTCTCACTACCCTATGGGCCTTCACGGCCTGTTATAGGGTACCTTTACCCGTCAGAGAAGATTCTTGTTCTTGTCTCGAGTCTTGAAGTGTTCCCAACCTACATATAGAGCTCAGTCGTTTCCGTACTTACCTAGTCCATGGACATTTATCTTACCGCCTCCTGTCCAAAAGCTTCAGATTGTAGTATACTAAATTTTAGACATAATTTTACGTGTGGTTTATATGGGTGTGAAACGTGGTCTCAGGCCCTAAGAACGCAGAGTGCGTTTGAAAGTTCTGGTGGTGATATTTTGGCCTACCAGAGCAAGAGAGAAAACGTAATGGGTAGACAGAATACAGTGCATAGCTGATGAGGAAATTGATAGTTTTAGTTTCAGGGTCATCAGACTGGGGTAGATGGGATGGACTTTACATGTAGAAAAAGGGAAAGGTAAAGCTATCCCTGTGCCGGTCACGGTAGCCGAGCGGTCTAAGACATGCACTGTCTTCGCCTGCTCGGAAGCCGGGATCGTGGGTTCGAATCCCACTCAGGGCATGGATGTTTGTGTGCGTTTTTCTGTGTTTGTATACAGGTAGAGGCCTTGCGACGAGCTGATCACTCGCCCAAGGAGTCCTACCGTATGTGTAAGATCTAGTAAACCGAAGTGAAACGGAGAGTTTCATGGAAGTAGGCCTAGGCCCAAATTGGGGCTGTAGCGCCACAGGAAAAAAAATAAAGCTCTCTCTGTACCAGGCCGTGAAGGCCCATAGGGTTGTGAGACGTTGAAGGTCCCACATTATCTAAACAATCGGCTCAAAGATGGCGGTAAGGTTGACAGCCTTACGCGCCGGCCGCGCTTTAGTCCCCAGAAAAATTATTTGATCAATTCCTGGTACTCATTTCTATTAGAGGCTGAGTCGACCCCAGGGCCATAGTGCGGCCGAAATGATTAGGTCAATTGAAAAAACCACACCTCATGTGGACTCGAACCCGCGACCTTCCGGCTTGTAGCATAGTGCCTCAACTAACTACGCTACCGCGTGCTCCCGGTGAATAAAATATGTTGGATTAAAATGTTAATTGACTAAAATCTTTGTAAGGACATAAACTATGGGACGCGAGGTACCACACATACCCAGGCTTAACCTCAAATTATAAATACTGATCTGTTACAGGTGGTTGTGAATAGCGCCTGTTAAAATGGATCACCAACGCCTTGGCGGGACCCCCCGCCGGGCGCGGCCCGCAATCACCACTTCGTCTGCGCATGTTGATTAATTGTATTTCTGATTTGCTTCGCTCTACTCAAGTGGAAACAGCACACACATTTGCAATGTCTAACTTACATAAATTGTTTGCATATTTATTCTTTTTGCGGAAGCTTCCACCACTAATTTATCTTACTTTTTGTGCTGTCATAAGAAGAGACTTGGTACAGTAATACGTTTCGTAGCCATTAATTATACCCCTCCATTCCTGATCGCCGTTGTCATATTAATGATTCTTGATTCTCCTCCACTGCTGCATGTTTATTCATGTTACAGTCACGTTTTCA